TAGTTACTTTGAGTGTTAACTGCTGGTTTTGTACATATGTGAACGCATACAGGCACAAACAGACACAGAGACAGACACACTCACAGACTTCGAGGTTGACATATGACCGTAACTAGCCAAATAACTTTATACCCCATCAAAAAGGCCATATATAGAGTATATGTAGAGCTTTTTAAGGATTTCAGTGAGTTTTCTTGACTCATTAGCTTGCATTTGGTTGTGATGATGATACCTTGCTCTGTTGATGTTCGTCATATGACGGACGAAAGCATAGTATCTCTTCACTGGAATCGAAGGCGATTACCTCGGCAACAGCGTCAGCATGAATGTCCCAGTAAAGCCAATCGACAGTCTGTCAAGATGAATCCGTCGTCGTCTTCTGGTCGGGGCTTCATTCGAATCTCTTCATTAAGCATACTTTAATTCGATGTGGAAGTGAACTGTACAATCACAAAAGGTGCACTTCTTTACTGGACTGCAGTTTGACCCCGCGTTTGTCTGGGCTCTTGGACCAATCTCGCCGTGAATCTTACATCTGCCCAAGACGAAGCGAAGGTCAATGGCTTCTTTAGGCCTCGTCTCAAAGCCTTGTGAGCCAACTCGATCGTCAATTCCTCATCAGATTGAACAACCAAAATTGACTAACTTCTTTGCCATCCCCCCTTTCGATGCCGCCATCTTGAGTCGCCGTCCTACTCGTCCTTTTTCTTCTCCTCCTCCTCTTTCACGCCCCACCCTTGATACCACAAATTGGCACTTTCTCGCATAAGACTCTGCATCTGCCCTCCGCAGTTTGGGGCAGAATGCGAAGGGTAGCATTTGCTTCCGCTTCTCGGCCATAAATGGCATGACCTTTGGCTCTTGCTAAAGTGCCCGGGCAACAGTTACTCGGCTGAACAGGACGAATCAAGCATGCCGCAGAAAACAGGCCGTCATCCCTTCGAGGATAGTCAAAGCAGCCTTATTTGCTTGTCAAAGCCGAGTATCGAAGCAATTGGCTCCCACTTGCCGGTGGACAGGGAAAGAGGTTCAGACGGGGATTGGGTGAACTGAAAGAATGCAGAGTCCAAACACGCCTGGGCAGACGCGACCAAGTTGGAGGTTGGCGACGAGTTAGCCGGACCAAGGGGAGCTGAGACATTTCATCCTTGGCTTGGAGGTACACGTGTCTACGACACGTGGCCAGATTGCCACAAAACAGCACCGAGCAGAACCTGGGCTTTCTAACGCTTGTCCCAAATCCGCTGCACTGGCGGAGAAAGCCGACCAACCAGAAGCAAGTTAGTAACATCCAGTCTTCCCGACCCGAAAGGAAGACAGACCAAGTCCCTCTCCACCTGTGGACGAATCGCTGTATCTATGTTTGTGTCTTTTCTCTCTCTCTCTCTATTTATGTTTGTGTATTTGTGTGCGTGTGTGTGTGTGTGTGATTTCAGGCTTACAGGGCAACACAATGTCAGTCTACAAAAGCACCGGGCGAGTTTTCTGCGCAAGCCCGCCCCGTTAGCAACGTCTGCTCTTTTCTCTGGTACCCAGGGCTTGTTCACACCAGCCAGAACACTCGATCCGACGCCAATCCCGCCGTGGCCGGGCTTGTGGTACCTTGCCAATGGCAATTAAACCGCCCCAGACTGGAGCAGAGGAGAGAATGGCTGGGGTGAATGCGGAGCATTGTGTGGACGAGAGACACTTTGCTGGGACAGACAGGTCGGCCCACTAAAGAGCCTGAAATGGTGACAGCAGCAATCGTCGATTTCGCGAGAGTGGATCACGCGCTCAAGCGATCTGCATGTTGATGGTACTGGAGAGTAGCTATCCTTTCAGGAAGCGTGAACATGGCCTGCCAGAGACTGTGCTCTCCCACACCCGACGGTTGTTAGGACGGCATCAAGTGTAAAAATGTCACCTACTGAAGTAATTTCCAGACTAACCATTTGTCTTTGATTATGGACTTTAGTCAGCTGAGATCGCATGAGACCATCTGGGACGGAAGGGTGAATGTCTCCAAAATGGAATGCTTCGGCATCACGATGCCATCGCGTCACCTCTTACAGAACTCTTTACTCCCAGCTGGCGCGGGTCTTTGCAGTACACTCAACAGAAGTCGAAACAAGGGAGTTCGTAGTCGTTAGCTACAAGTTATCGCTTCGCCACACAACATGCAAAGGGGACTCTCAAAGCAACTTGGTATTGTCTATTATAATCAAGGGGGAAACATAAGCTCATCGTGGAAGTGTTTCGAGGCTGTAGCTCTTGAAAAAGAAGCCTGTATATCTAAAAAAAACATACTCAATATGCGGTTAGTAAGTCCGTCGATTATAATACCACAGTTTGCAGTGAATAATCGATAAGCCGATATGATATGTGTGACTTTTGAGATGTCCGGCTTACCTTGAAAATCATATCTTCCTTGTGAGCGACTAGCACAACTGGCAACATTGCCGACATGAAATTTATTGTCAATTTACGCGCATGAACTGGTCTCTGATTCTGCTGGGGAAGCATATTAGATGCGAAAAGGAGGGCCTTTTTGGAGGAAGAGGATCGTTGAGAATCGTCCCTTAGTTATGGAAAAATTAAATATAAATCTTCAACGTAAATAGTCTCAAAGCAATAAAAGTTATTATGTTACTAGCAGTCTAGTATCAAACCATACTGGAGCTTGACTTTTTTAGTAAACAAGCTGGGGCAGATACTCTTTCGATGAGAAATGATGACAATGCTGGATTCTTGACGGCTTCGAGGGCCAACTTCTCAGCATACCAAAGTTGTGTGAGTACTATTAAATTAGGAGAACACTTCCAAACACGGAAGAGCACAACCAATGAAAGATGCCAATAGGGGACTGTTTGATACAATGAAGAGGTGGCTTCCGAAGAAAAGCTTGATTACTTGCAAGACATGAATTGTTTATCCAGTTACATGTTGATACAAGAATAGAGAGGGTCGTATTAGAAAACTATGAAATGGTTTTATCTTGGTATATTCGAAGAAAAGTTGGATTTTGAGGAATCTCTTGTTTCATAATTGTTGATCTTACTTTTATTTCAAGTGAAAGTGTTTGGTGAAGAGATTCAAATTTCGATTCCACCAGAAGACGACGATGGGCTCCTCTTATCAAGCTGTCGATTGGCTTTACTGGAACATTCATGTTGACGCTGTTTCAGAGGTAATCTCCTTCAATTCCGGTGAAAAGGTGCAAAGTAATAGTCCGTCATATGGCGAACATCACCAAAGCAGGCTATTATCATCCCAACCAAATTCAAGCTAAAAAGTCAATAAAACTCACCAAAATCCCTATTAAGGTCTATATATACTATATACATGGCCTCTTTGATGAATTATAAAGTTATTTGAATAGAAGTTGTTTGACCTTGTTTTCGCAACTCGGTCACATTGGTAGGAAGACTTAAAGAAACGCA